TTAATAGTATTGGAATCGTTACCGGTTAGGAGAATGTCATCGACGTATATTAGAAGAAAGAGGCGGACACTATGCCGTTGAAGAATGAGAAGCGACGGATCCGCTGAGCTGTGTGTGAAACCGAGTGAGGAAAGATATTCAGTTAGAGTATTGTACCACTGATGCGGCGCTTGCTTAAGACCGTAAATAGCCTTGCGAAGGTGACAAACGTGGTTCGGATAATTCTTGTCTTCAAAACCTTTTGGTTGTTTCATAAATACTGTTTCCGAGAGCTGACCATGTAGAAAAGCATTTGCAACATCAAGTTGCTGGATTTGCCAATCATGATGTAATGCAACTGCAAGCAATACTCTAATTGTTGGAAGTTTAGCAACGGGACTAAAAGTCTCGTTGTAATCGACGCCGAACTCTTGGTGATTTCCTTGCGCAACAAGACGAGCCTTATACTTTGCTATGGAGCCATCTGAGCGATGTTTAGTTCGGTAAGTCCAGCGGCATCCAAGAACTTGTGCTCCAGCAGGTGGTTCAACTAAGCTCTAGGTACCTTGTTGTTGTAATGCAAGAAATTCCTCATTCATTGCTGCACGCCATTCAGGAAATTTTGAGGCTGCAGCATATGTAGTAGGCGTATTATTAGGAAGACTGTCCGAACTAGAATGAAGCAGATTCAATCGTTGAATTGGCTTAAGAGAGCCAGTTTGATTTCGCGTGATCATTCTATGTCTCTGAGGAGGAGGTATCTCGGCATGTGGCACAGGTGAAGACTGATAAAGATTGTTGCTAGGAGTTTGATAATGATTTGTTGCTGTATTGTTGGGCTGACTTACAGGCTTATGTTGAGAGGAAGGAACAGAAGTGAAATTCGGTAGAATTGATGTAGGAATGAGAAAAGACGGTGGAAGATCAGGAGAAGCATTTGGTCGTTGAGTGTGCTGATTGCTGAATGGAAAATAGTTCTCATCAAACGTAATGTGTCGAGAGATAGAAATTTTGTTTGTTAGAATATCCAGACATTTGTAGCCTTTGTAGGCGTCTGAGTATCCAAGAAAGACACACATTCGAGCCTTGGCCTGCAGCTTATGATGAGAATGCGGAGGTTGTAAAGGAAAACGCGCGCACCCAAAGACTTTCAAGTGAGTATAATCAGGTTTAGATTTATGGAGGAGTTCAAAAGGTGTGGAGTTAAACGTTACAGGCGAAGGCATGCGGTTAATAAGATAGGTAGATGTTAGTACAGCCTCAGGCCAATGCAGATAAGGCACCGAAGCCTTTTTAAGTAAAGTCCTTGTGGTCTCAATAATATGTCTGTGTTTGCGCTCCGCTACTCCGTTTTGTTCCGGAGTGTAAGGACATGAGATCTGGTGGAGAATGCCGTGATTGCTAAGATATGTAGCAAATTTATGATTAACAAATTCTGAGCCTCCATCAGTCCTGAGAGTACGAATGGTATTAGATGTATGTTTTTCTATAAAAGTCTTAAAATTGACAAAGATATCAAAAGCTTCAGATTTATGACGCATTGAAAAAATTCAAGAAAATCGAGAAAAATCGTCAACAAACAAAACATAATATCGGTATCCTTGTACAGAAATCACCGGGGCAGGGCCCCATACATCAGAGTGAATAAGAGAAAGCGTAGTCATGCGACGATTTTCAGATTTTTCAAAAACTAATTTGCTTCCTTTTGATTCTTTACAAGGAAAACAAGACATTTTATCTATATGAATATTAAGCTGCGGGTTGAACTGAGCTATAGTAGATATAGTTCTATCATTTGGATGCCCGAGCCTGTCATGCCATGGGATGGATCGGTTTGTTGTAGTAGATAGTGCAGCTTTATTTCTTGAAGTATGCTGAATTGGAATTGGATAGAGACCATTGCTACATGGTCCGCGAAGCAACACTTGCTGCGTCGTCATGTCCTTTAAAACAAAACTGTGAGGATCAAAGCATATAGAAATGTTATTCTCACGTGTTAACTGTGAGATAGATAACAGATTAAAATTAAGTTGTGGAGAATGAAAAATGTTAAACAAATTCAACTTACGATTGGGAGTCGGTAACACGCCGGCACCTGAATTGGCTATGTTAACCGATCTCCCGTCACCAACTGTGACCGAGTCAGATCCTTGATATGGTACCGAAACCGACATGTTCTCAAGAGAATTTGTGATGTGCGAGGTGGCTCCTGAGTCAAGAAACCAATTGCTGTAAGAATTATCGGTAGAAGCAGCCAAAGCTTTTGTTGGAGGGGGCTGATTCGGCGGAACATATGTTGGATCAAGACGATGCCAACAACTGGAGGCAAGATGCCCTTTCTTGAAGCATATCTGGCAGACGACAATAGACGAAGAAGCCGTGCGATTTGTTGTAGATGAATTTTGAGATGAGCGTCAGCGGGAACGACGACCACGACCACGAGAGGTGAACAGAGCAGTGGTAGGATCTGACGGTTGGCGAAGAAGATCAGCAGCAATGTTAACTTCTTCGCTGAGCAACAGAGCATAGAGTTGATCTAGCGATATGGGAGTCAACATCGTGCGAATGGCAGTTTTGAAAGATTGATAAGTCGCCGGAAGACCATTAAGAATGTATAAGATAACATCCTCAGTATCAACAGTGGAGCCAGACGAGGCGATTTGATCCACAAGTGATTTAATCTCTGTAAGATATTGAGAGATAGATTGATTTCGGAGAGAAATATTGTGAAGCGAGTTCTTGAGCTGGATCACTTTAGATCTGTTAGACGATTGAAATCTTGTTTCGAGAGTGTGCCAAATCTGTGCAGTGGATTGAAGATGAACAACATAAGGAAGAATCGATGGGGTTATAGTGGCACAGAGGGCTGTCGAAAGATTTCGATCGATAAAGTTGAAATGGGTAGCCGTCGGAACAGAGGATTGCGATTCTGCAGACTGAGAAGTAGCGTTATTATATGTTGACGAAAGATCCAAATACTTGTCAAATCGATTTGCTTGAAAAATCTTTAGGATTTGAGCTCGCCAGATCTGGTAATTTTCCGCATCAAGCTGGACATGAACGAGCGATTTTAAGTTGGAGACGACGAATTTCAGCGCTGGCGGGAGGAGGGAGATGTTGGTTTCGTCTTCATCCTCTGGTTCCCGAAGCTGAGATGTGGTCGTCGTCATGATTCACGGATCAAGAACCGTGGCTAACTGATACCATGTAGAAACTAAATCATGTAAACAAGAAAATGGAAAACTGAAAAGTGAATAAAGAAAGCAAACTTTGTATATCTTGAAATGATACAGCAGCCTATATTTATAGGCTTTACAGCAACGTCTGGATACTTCCAAAGGAAATATAATAACAGTACACTTTATTTACAATTAATTATATTATTATTATTATTATTATTATTATTATTATGCTCTAATACTCCCCCGCAAACT